ATATAATACCCTTTACTGGGGGCACTGTCCATTTTAGAATTTAGGGCTGAGTGGCAGCTTCAACCAGCAAAAAGATGGGCAGCAAGAGCTTAGCTCAAGGCAAAGACCCAAACACCTCCCCTGAGCATCTAATTTCCTGGTTAGTTTGCATTTCCAGCCTCTTGACACTGGCGTTAAATTTTTTGCAAAGTTTCACGAAAATACCCCCTACTATGTTCAAGCGGTGTGCAAAACCTTTTTCTAAACATTTAACTCATTCCTTTTGTTTCATGAAAGCCCACAAGCAGCTACAGTGAATTTAAAATGCAGTAATTTTGACCGGCTACAATTACGGCCTGGCTAGGCAGCAGTGCGCATTGGCTACCCTGCTGACTCGCTGTTAACACTGAATAGAGAGCCATGTGAGAAATTGGGACACATTTTTCTTTTGTAGCATTAAAAGAAGCTTCTCAAATGGCTTCAGCAGATCAATGCGTTTCTATAAACAGTCAGTTTTGCTCATGGTAAAATGTTGCGGTTGTGAAGCTTGTCAATAAAAGTCAGCAAGGGTTCCTAATTCAGAGGGAAGAAATCCGTTTTGTATTTCAGCCTGGCTGAAGATGAAGAAAAAGTGGTTTAAATTTCATTCATTGCCAGAAGCCACATTGTGCGGTGTGCCTTTCAGGAAACTGGGGGCAGAGCAAGACGTTCAAAGCCATGGTTGCAGAAAAGCGTCAACTTTAGCACACCTCTAAGATACCAACTCCTGAACTTTTCTCATCCTGAATCGGTCTTCGTGTGCCGTGGATCAAGGTGGCAGAGCAGAATGTGGGGAATACTTTGTTTAAAAATAATGCTCTTCTATGTAAAGCAACTTCACAACAACAAATCTAGCACACGGGGGGGAAAGATTGTAGCCTAGGCCCTCTGCCTGACGTCCTAGCATTCTACCTGCTGCAGAGTTTAAAAACAAAAAGATGCGAGCATTTAAAAGGATGTTCCCCACACCAGCCATCAGAAGAGATATTTTATTTCTTGGATTTTTACACAAAATTTATATGGCGCCTTCCTTCCCAGTCAGGGCCACCAAGGCAGCGAATGGTTAAAACAGTATAAAAACATATAATTAAAAAATGAAAACTGAAGCTAAAATACATATTAAAAGCACATAAAACAGTAATTAAAACACAGGGCAGGAAGGAGATCAAACAAAATAAAATAGGCCTTCACCCAATGCTCCCTCTAAGCCGTGGAGTCTTATGAGCAAAAATTCTACTTGGTGAGCGACTGGCATTGAAGTTGCGAGCGAGCTATTTGGCTGCTGCATCAATTAGTTTGCTCTGGAGCCGTCCTTCCTGAGCTAAGACAAAAATCTATGAGCTGGAGGCTAAAAAACTGTGAGCTAGCTCAGACTAACTCAGCTTAGAGGGAACACTGCCTCCACCTCCTGGTGGAAGAGAGTGACAGAAAGGAGCAGACTGTCCCTGGGGACAGTGTCTCATAGTTCAGTTGCCACAGCTGTGAAGGCTGTCTCTTGGGGCACCCACAGCAGGGCCTTGGAAGACCTTAGTGGTCAGGCAGGCTCCTGTAGTCCACCCTAGCCATGTATTCAGTTCTGCTACCTATGGGGAAGCCATGAAAGCAAGACCAGAGCCAGAGCAGAGATTTCCCTTTGAAAAGAAGCGCACGATCTTGAGCTGGTTTCCTGTTCTGCTCCTTCTCACAGCCCCTGTTTACCACTAACAGAAGGACTACTGCTACTACTAGTCCAGAAATGGCAGCACTCTGGACTATTGCTGTAAATTCAGCAAATAAGTTTCTCCTGGTGGGGAATCTAATGTGTGCACGGTTCACATCCTGAATAACTCTTAACAGGAGTATCTAACGCTTGATAAGACCCAAAGCTTAATGTACACCATTCATCTACACCATTTACATGCCATTCTCTTCCACACTTAAGCCTAATACCATACAAGATTGTCTCTGAAGCTGCCTTATACTTGGAGACAATGGTCCTTTGTGGTCCTCTCTACATCTTGGACAAATGTCTTTCTGGCCCTACTACCTGAGGTGCTTTTAACTGGTGATACTGGAGACTGAACCTGGGACCTTTGGCATGGTCTTTACTGTAGCATTCCAATACGTGGTTACTGAAGGGACTGCTAGAAATGATTCTATTTAGAAAAATAAAACTTTGCAAAACTGATAAGCTTAATATGAAAACGACAGCCTACTGTTACACCATCTGAATGGTGGCAAGATGGACAAAAACATTTGCAATTCATTAGAGCTTACCTTCTCCTGCCAGTGCAATATGCCAATTATCGCCAGGATGAAGACACAAACTCCAATCAGGGCAATGGCTGTGAGCAACACAATATTACTTGGAGTCAGGTACAGTTTGGCGCTCCAGCTGCAGGGAAGAGGGGGATCCGAGAAAGCGTCAGTACTTTTGCTTACAGACCAGACAACATATTCCATAGAAATTATGGAAAGCAGAATGATGAAAAATGTACAATTTTATATCTACTGGATATGGATATTACGGCTTGTAAAACGGGAACACCCTTTGTCCCTGACCTCAGTGGACCAGTGTGCTGTCTTGGCTGGCTGCCACAGAGACCACACACTGGAAGCTTGTAAACACAGTCCAGAATCGAGGTCAGTCAGAGCCAAAAGTCAAAGAGCCAGAAATTCAAGGTTGCAAGGACAAGGAGTGGCTGCTACACACACTCAGGAGCAGGTCTGAGTGAGCAAAGCTGCCGCCGCGTTGAACCAGATGCACTGAGTGCTTTTGAGCAGGTCCTTCCTTCCCTGGGGTTGAGTCTGCAGAGGCTTACAGCTCTTCCCTCTGCCTCTGCAGGAGTTGGAGTCTGGCACTCCTCCTTCGCTCCAGCATAGTCAGCCTCTGGCGTGCCTGACATCTGGGGCACTCAGGAGAACTAGGCAAGGGGTCTGGCCTTGAGGTATCTGCAACTGGGGGTGCTGGGCCAGGCTCAGGAATGATCTCTCCTTCTGGCTGCACCTCCTGTGCAGCTGCTGGGGACTCTTCCTCCTCAGGTACAGTTGAGGGTTCTTTCTCTGGGCTGACTCCAGAGGAGGCTGGGCTGCTCTGAGGAGGAGTCAGCCTCAGCAGACCTAGTACCCACGACAACCAGGCTAGCCCAATCTTGTCAGACCCCAGAACCTAAGCAGAGTTGGCCCTGGATAGTATTTGGATGAGAGACCCCCCCCCCAAGGGAACTCCAGGGTTGCTACACCCAGTTGCAGTGGCAAACCACCTCTCTTGGCCTCTTGCCTTGAAAACCTTATGGAGTCACCATAAGTCATCTGCGACTTGATGGCCCTTTCCACCGCCGACCCCCTTCGTGTTCCCCAGCACAGCAGGCTTATCGCATCAGTCATTTTGATTTCCAAGAACGGACTTTTTGCAAAGCCCATGTTCTCTTTTTGAAAGTGGCATCTTTGAACACTGACGGTGAAGGACTGGAGTGGCAGGTGACAGAAAGAAAAAAATCTTTCTGCCCTCCAGGAATGCCAGTAGGAAGTTTCCCCTCGCTTCAGCACTGAATGGTGCCCATGGCCTGAAGCTTTACAAACAGGAGAGGTAGAGTAGCTCCCATTACTAACATGACTCATTAGCAATGCTCCCTCTAAGCTGTGGAGTCTTGGAGCAAAAAATCTGCTTTGTGAGCAACTGGCATTAAAGTTGTGAGCGAACGATTTGGCGACTGCATAAATTAGTTTGTTCTGGAGCCCTCCTTCCTGAGCTGAGACAAACATGTGTGAGCCAGAGCCTAAAAAACTGTGAGCTGGCTCACACTAACTCAGCTTAGAGGGAACACTGGTCACAAGTATTTTGGGCCTTGCCAGTGCTGCTCTGTACATGGGGTTGTGGGTGTGTGTGCACTTTTTGCAGTTATGGGCAACCTCGGTTTCATGGATGTCCAATAAAGAAGCCAACTCAGTGGCAAAAATGTGTGAACTGGAGGCTAAAAAACCGAGCTAGCTCACACTAACTCGGCTTAGAGGGAACACTGCTCATTAGGTATGGAGACTTACATGGCAATAAAGCTTCCCTCAGAGGTCTCAGCAGAGGAGAACACTGGTTATATAAACCTAAACGAAGTCATGGCAGTTCCTTCCTTCCTTTTTCACAAGTGCCGTTTTTCAGGCTTTCCATGGGGCATGCTCAAACGGTATATGACTGCCCAAAGCATCATATTCACAGTAAGCTCAGTAATGAAAGAGGAGATTTTCTCCTCTCAAATGCAGCTGAAATGGTGAATCAAGTTTGAATGGCTTCAGAAACCTTACCCTAGGAAAACGATATACTTATGAGGTTGTTAATTATTGGGAGTGTGGGTGGGGGGAGATACCGTCTTTTATAGGCTCCACAAGGGGCTGGCTGCGCTGCTTTGGTGTGCGCGTAATTGCTTGGCAAATGGCTCTATCGATTATTGGAAGTTCATAAAGAGTATGTCAATGTAGGGCCCGCAAGACGGCATTTAGCCGGTCATGTGCCATCTCGCTCTGTCCTCGGAGCACAGTGTGCTCAATATTGATTTCACTTAATGCATCTCAGCAAAATGAGCTGTAACTGCCCCATCTGTGGAGAGGGGCAGAGAGCTGCTTAAACCCAGACACGTAGAAAATAACACCATTAAAATGGTCTTCTCTTAAATGGTACATTAAAAGTATATTTTTTCCCCAGTCCTGCCCTGCCCATTTATTCCTTCTCTCTTTGGGGAGAATGGTGGATTGAAGACGAGTTACCTGTTTCTGTAATTCTCCTCTCTTGGTTTGCCTGTGGTTTGCAGAACTGTAGGGTCAGAGTTAAGCACTAGCACAGGGGCGTCGAACTCATTTGTTATGAAGGCCAGATCTGACATAAATGTCATTTTGTCGGGCCAGGCCATGTGCGCCATAAAACATAAAGCCAGGTACCGGAGATATGAACTGTATAAAGGACAGCAGCTGGTAAGCTCCGAGTTGTTGTATCTTCACTGCAAGGTCCCATGGACTGGGTGTATTTGTGCAAAGGTAAACCCATATGGGTGGACTGGAGAGCCAGCGATGCAGCATTGGGTAGACACTTCCACGCTGCTTACTGCTGCAGACGAGGTTTTTCCACCACGCTGAAGCTACAATCGGAGTGGCTCCGCCCACTCCCACCCGAGCAGTCTCCTGTTCCGTCCTTTGCACTAGGTGCTCGTGGGCCGCATAAGAGCCCTGGATGGGCCGGTTCTGGCCCCCGGGCCTTATGTTTGACACCCCAGCACTAGCACATTCCCTAGATTAAGTTGGGGCATCCCAAAGAAGACTCAAACACGAGCCCTCTTATGTAGCCTCTTGAAAAGGTGTACTTACTTTCATCCCATTTTATATAAGGTGTTTACAATCCTACCTTTTACCTCAGAGGAGCCTCTATTAATAGTATGCCTATTCCCTAACTACTTAGTTTAACTAAGAAAGACTCTTAATGCCATGGATCATATTTAGACAGGAATAAAATCTTCTGTACACTTGCTTATGCTTATCTAAGCAACAAGTCTAATTTCTGAAATCCCACCTATCTTGTTTTGGTAGATTTGCTCTTAGAGCAAACATGAAAAAACATTTTAGGTTCATAGATATTACTACAAGCCTGTTTTGTTTTCTTGGGGATTTGTCCATAAGCAAGAATAATTTCCTGTAGTGATACAAATCCATCACCAGAGCTACCCATTGGCTGGTTCTCTCACACCCATATACACCGTACTCAAGAAAATAGATATCTGTCAAGATCCTGAACAATTTAATTTCTCTCCACCCCCTTTTCTGTTTGTACCATATCTGAATTTGACACAAGTCACAATAACTATCCATATGGGAAATTCTTTTTCTTCATTTATATCGGTAGTACAAATGAGGGATGCTTCATTTGAACACATGAACCTGACCTGAAGGTCAGTATTGTCTCCTCAGACTGGCTGCAGTTCTCAGGGAAAGGTCTTTCACATCACCTTCTACCTGATCCTCTTAACTCGAGATGCCGGGGACTGAACCTGGGTCCTTCTGCCTCCCAAGCAGATGTTGTACCTCTGAACCACAGCCCACCCCCAGTTTGGGTACAGAAATAGCAGGCAAAAGAGGCAATTAAAATATAAAATAGCCTTTTATGTAGGCCAGTAATTTCCACCCTGATTAACTAACCCTGCTTTGAAAATTACAATAACTGACATACCTCTCAGAATCCCTTGACATTTCAACTCTTACTTGTTAAAATTGTTGATCAGAGTTCTAAAATTTTTGGTAGAATATTCTGATCATTCCATGTGGCATGTAGGCCAGTCCAAGTGTCAGGATGCTATACTAACTCAGATTCAGATATATTCATGCAGGAACAGGGGGCACATCACACATCTTTGGTAATTAGTGTCTTTGGGAAAGTCATAAAGAACGTAAGAGCAACCCTGAAGATCCAGTCCAACGGCCTTTCTAGTCCAGCATCCTGTTTCACGCAGAAGCCAAGCTAATGCCCTAAAAGATGTGTAGGGGGGGGGGGTATGGAGGCCCCATTTAGCCATCCTGGCTAATTGTTACTGACAGACCAATCCTTCACAAATTTGTCTGATTCCCCCTTTAAAGTCATTAGTTAATGGCCACCACTACCTCTTGCGGTAGTGCAGGTTTATTATATTGTTTCTGCATGCCTATTGACTTCATTGGGTGTCCCCATAATCTAGTATTTTGGGAGACGTAAATAAAGACCACTTTATCAGCTCTTTCTATACCATGTATAATATGATACACCTATTTCAGGACCATCACCCCTAGTAATTTTTCTTCTAAACTAGAAAGACCAAGCCCCAAAGCAGAAATTATAGTAGTAGATTTCCAAGCTGCTATTTTGCACATCGTTTAAGAATAGTGTTCCCAAAGTCCCAAGCTGATGGAACTACTCTGGAGTAAGCAGATGGCAGACTCCATCCCTTCTGTATAACGTCTCCCAACTGCCATGTAATTACAACTTGTAGTTTCAAAAACATTGTTACCTGCCCCAAAGCATATGGGAAACTCATTTTTTCCCAAGCACTGTTGGTTTATTTCCAAGATTAAGAAAGGGTTTTTTTTTTACTCCAATCAAATATGGCTTTGTTTTAGGACGTGAATAAAGATTTATCGGCCACTGAAGTCAGTTGCTGTGATCAATGCATCTTAAAACAGACTGAAAACTGAAATCAATATACATTTTGTGCCAATATAATGGCACACACAGACTCCTTCAGAAATATCAGGAGCAATTAAAAAAAAAGATTAAAAATTCATTTATAGCTAGAAGTGGTTTTATACTGAAATCTGCTAAAACATCACATCCAAAGACATACTTGATGCCAATTATGAAGAGGAGTATCACAGCCGAACGCATTG